TTCACCCCTGAATAAGTAAGTAAGTAAGTAAGTATGAAAACCGCTTTCATAAGTCGCTTTTTTCAGTGCCGTTGTAACTTTGAATGGTCACTAAATGAACTGTTGTAAGTCGAGGACTACCTGTACTTGAGGAAAGTGCAAGCTTGATTTATAGATGTAGCACTACACAATGATATCAGAGTATTGGCTAGTCTAAAGAAAAAAAATTAGGGGTGACATGATAGCAGTATTCCAATAAGCCACAAAGAAGAGGGGGTCAAATTATTATCCGAGGCACCAGAGGGCTTAGTTACCAAACTATGTTTGGTAAAACAAAGCAAAAAGTGAAGCAACCTGGAATTAAGGAGAAACTTCCTAACAATGAGAACAATTAACCAGCGGAATACCTTCCCTTCAGAAGTCGTGGGTGCTTCATCACTGGAGGTTTTTAAGAAGAGACTAGATAGTCACTTATCTGAAATATTATAGGTTCTCCTGCTTGAGCAGGGGGCTGGACTAGAAGACCTCCAAGGTCCCTTCAAGCTCAAGTCTAATTCTAATTCTAATTCTGCTCTAAGTTTACCTCCCATCATTGTGAACATTTTCAATGGTTTTGCTACAAACCAGCCACTGCTGTGGAATGGAAAGGATCTGGCCAGCCAACTAATCTGTCCATCCCTCTAGTCAAAAAGTGTACCTGATTCCTAGACTCCCGCCAACACTTGAAGCCTGAGTGGTGCTACAATCCATCAAGAGGCATTTTCCCTTCTCTTTGATGGCAGCAAGATTATTTTGTGCACAAAAATGGAAGGACACTTTAATTTCCACAATGGATGAATGCAGTGGTGAAACGTAAAATTTGTTACTGTGGCCGTGGCTTGGTGGGTGGGTGTGTAATGTGACTGGGTGGGCGTGGCCATTTTTTTTCTTTTTACTTTTTTAAAGCATTTTTTTACAACTTATTCAGCTGAATAGGTTGTAAAAAATGCTTTTAAAAGTAAAAAAAAAGGCTCTGATGATCACAGCTGTGGCGCACAATCGTCAGAGCCTTTTTTTTTTTACCTTTTAAAAGCAGGAAGTAATGACATCCGGGGCGGGTGGGCGGAGCCTTGCGCCACCATCGCTACTGGTTCTCCGAACCACCTGCCACAATCGCTACCGGATCGCCCGATCCGGTCTGAACCGGGAGCCTTTCACCCCTGGATGAATGGCTGCAGAAGTTGATGGAGTTAGCAGAGATGGCTAAACTGACTGTTTGGATTAAAGACAAAAACACAACTACTTTTGTTTCTACTCGGAAGCCGCTTCTGGACTTTGTGCTCAAGGTGGAGGAAAAAAATGAAACTTTGATTTTGGGTTTTACCGATTAGACAGGTTTGTTGTTATAGAAATGGCTAGTTTTATAATAGCCAGATATTGGAAATTAGATGTGAATTTTAGAATAGAAGAATGGTATTGTGAAATGTGGAAATTAGCTTTAAACGATAAAATGACATGTGATATTAAAATTAGAAATGGTGACTATAAAGAAGATATTTTCTGGAAAATTTGGAAACCATTTGTGGACTATGCGCTGGGAAAATTGGATGCTTCGGTACCTGTACCCCGAGAACGTGGATTTTGGCGATCATGAGGATATATCCGAAGAACCAAATCTTCCTTTCTTATGTATAGCACAAGGTGAAATATTGTATACGTTGTTTGTAATATTAGTAATTTATTTATAAAAGAAAAAAAAAGAAAAAAAAAGAAATGGCTAGTTTATACTATTATGTAAAAGTAAGAAATTGATATTATTACCACTGCATCTTTCCTATTATTTTCTTTTGTATTTTTATATCTTATAGTATTCATATATAAATAAATTATTAAAAAATTCCCTTCCCACTATGTTATCTGTTGTTCCTTTCTCCCTCCTTCCATTCCTTTTAGGTGTTTTCTTCCTGTTTTAAGGGAGGAAGAATAGGATGCGGTAATGGGTCAACCAGGTTGGTGTAATATGTGAAGGTCCTGAGCTAGAAACTGGGCGATGGTGAGTTCTAGTTTCCCCTCAGGCCTGCAAGATGACAGGGTGATTTTGGGCCAGCCATTCTCCCTCAGCCAAACCCACCTCACAGCCTTTTTGTCGTGCGAAAAATAGGAGGGGCAACCATTGTGTACACCGTTCTGGGTTGTACAAATAAAGGCAGGATCTAAGCCTAACAAAAGTACGTAAATAAAGCCTAGCTAAGTAAACTATTAAGAAGGCAGGGGTGGGGGGGGGAAGAGAAATCTTATCCAGCTTCTTCTTCTCCTTCAGAAACCTCAGCCAAGCTTGTTATCAAAGGTGGAAACGAAGAAAAATGGTTCGCCGGGAAGGAGCTTAGAAAATGCTTTTTTTTTTTTTTTGCGGAAACATAACAAACAAAGCGTATTTGCCAACAGCTATTTTAAGCTTCATATGGAAAGCAAGGTGTCATTTCCTCCAGATAGGAAGTCAATTAAAACATTAGCAACAAAAACATTTTGGTTTTGGTTATTCAAACACCGAGTCAAATCACCTGTAGAAAAGTCACTCAAGTAGAAAGGCATTTAATCAGTGAATATTGACCAAGTACCTCTTGCAGCCTGAAGAGATAAGGAATGAGGGAGTTTAGCTTATACAGGTAGTCCTTGACTTAAAAACCATTCGTTTAGTGACTCTTTGATGGTCATTTTTCACAGCATTGTAGCATTCCCATGGTCACGTGATCAAAATTTGGATGTTTGGCATGTATTTATGAGGGTTGCAGTGTGATCACTTTTTGTGACCTTCGGACAAGTCAATGGGGAACCCAGATTCACTTAACAACTGCAGTGATTCACTTAACAACCATAGTAAGAAAGGTCATAAAATGGGGTAAAATTCATTTAACAACTGTCTTGCTTAGCAATGGAAATGTTGGGCTCAATTGTGGTCGTATGTCGAGGACTACTTGTACCTCATTCTTCCTGTACTGCAGGCCCATATAAACTGAGGCCTGAGGGTTTGCAAGAACCAGACCGAACCGGTAGCAACCCACCACTGGGAAGGACCCATCTAAGGACTTGTGGACACAGCACTTAAGAAGAAGACTTAGCTCTCAGCTCTCTTTTCTGTCAGCTTTGGAAGCCATATTAGGCCGGAAGCTTCCATGCTGCCGCCTTCTCATGTGTGGGAAAGTAGGAGGGGGGATTTAGTAGAGGGGTTGTTTGTAGACATAATAGCATTCTTCCTGTCGGTCAAGGTCAGGCCGATCCTGCATCTGGAGAAGGAATGGTTGGAGTGCTGTCTCGAGATGGGACGGATGTTGATTGGAGCATGTGATCGACTGAGGACTGAGGGGATGGTTTTGGAGGTTTTGATTTATTGAGGGAAAACCCGAACCTCTCAGAGTCAGGTTTTCCCAGATGTGCCAGTTTACCTATTCTAGTAAATAGAACTTTGAAAAATGCTTGCTTCAGAGTTTTACTTGGAGTGGGGGGGGGGGGGTTTTCTGGAACGCTGACACTTTCCATGTGCTCCTTGCTCGAGAGCAGTAGGGCCACCACTCATCCCTGCTGTGAGGGAATTGTGAGGCATCTGTCAACATGGCTCCCTGAGGATGCCTTCACCGTGATGCATGTATAGAGTAGAAAACAATTTCACAGAGTGGAGAATTTTACAAGCTCTGATTCACTGCCTATCCTGGTTCATCACTGGAAGCAACTTTTTGTTGCTAATAATAGGATGAGTCCTGCAAAACTTCAAACTGGCATTTGTTCTGCCCCAGCTCTGGATTCCCGAGGATATTGACACACACCAACGGTCCTTATCAAATTTATTAAGTAGCAAGAATAAACCAAAGTCCGGCAAAGGTTGGCAACCAGCCCAGAAAACAAAATACGATAAGACTTTTCCAAAAATGCTCTGATGATAATTACAAGTTGTTTCCAGCAAGAAACTTACTAACCGTGTGTGACTTAACTAGGCTAAGGGAGTGGCCAATTATCCTCAAGCCTTATTCTCGAGGAGACCTCCTCCTCCTGAGTAGCCACTCCTGCCTTTTGGCAGCCCTGCGTGCTCGAGCATTGAGGAGAGGCTCCTCCACTTCACTCTCTCCACTTGAAGGAGCCTCTGGAAGTTCTGAAGGCCTTGGCTGAGTCTCTGCCTCTGGCACCACATCCTCTTCAGCCTCCTCGCTGTCCGACGCAACCGCCGGCTACTGGCACGACACCACACCATCCTCCTTGTTGTCGGGATCAGCCACGATCCGCGCAGGCCACTGGCGGGCCACAACAGCATTGCAATTTCCATCTCTGCTTCATTTCTTTGCACCTGATCTTCCGCGCATGCGCTTTGCTGGTGCGTGTGCCTTTCGCGCATGCGTCCGGCTTAAAAAAAGTGCCTAAATAGGATGGCATAGAGCCGGGGCGGGTGTGCGGGCTCACCCGCGATTTCTGCTACCGGTTCAGGTGAACTGGTCCAAACTGGCTAAATACCACGTGTGTGTGTGTGTGTGTGTGTGTGTGTACAAACACACACACACACACACACACACACACATATGATGTATATAAGATATACATCAACTTCAATACATGAACTGTGTAGCATCTGAGTATCATTCTTTTTAATACAAATAACAATGATATTAATAATATTTGTTATATTAATCAAGCTTTTGTAATCTTAGTGTTGATACACATTTTTGTATTAAAATATAATCCTTCATTATTTAATTGTTCAGTGCTTCAGTGTGCCATTCTAATGCCAATCACAATATTAGCTGGGCATATATAGTAATACCATCTTTCAACCTCTAATTTTTCCATCTGGTTACTGCTTTTATTTTATTATATAAAAATGTGTATACTAATATTCCCCCCGTTTCTTATTTCTAACTCTATTCTGACTTTTATTCAGGCCACCATTACTAGATCTGCTTCATTTCTGATGTGGACAATAAGAAGAACCAGTTTTTGGGGAGGGGGGCAAGGGGGAATTATTGACAGAAATTCAGAATGCAAAGTCTTTCCCCTACCTCCGGTCGTTCCTCCTCCTCCTGAACAGTTTTTTGGTGTGTGCAATTTCTGCTTCATGTGGCAATGGGTGACAGCCCTGGCATAAAACAGGGGAAAAAAGGAAGATGGTTATAAGTTCAATAAGAAGAACCAGAAAATATTCATGATTATGGCAAGGAGCAGAATGTAACTGTCTCTGGCCTTCCAGATCTTTAGAACCTCTTGAAATGCTGGTTCAGACAAACCGCTCATTTTAATTTTTCCTAAGAGTTGCTAGAACAAAGTAAGCTTATGATGATTAAGAGTAGAATCGCATGCTATTCATACAATCAAACTTCACCATTGCAATGCAGTGTAAAAAAAGCTATTGCTTCAAAGTTTTAAGACCATCACATATCATGCATCCATGACCATCGTAAAGTATTCTGGGAATTGAAGTCCATAGGAACTCAGATCGTGGATGCTTGGACTAGATTTTTCAAATTCTGGTATTCATCCAAAATTATTGTAATAGGAAAATGCTTTCCATTTGTGTACAGTATCACCAGGTGTCAACTTTCCCAGGTAGACCAGACAGGAAAAACAACCAAATGAACTACTGTAATTCTACTTTATTGCAAGGCTAATTAACAGAATTTTGCAAATCTGAAAGTAAAGATCACTTTTTACAGCCTGATAAATGCAGAAGCATCTGGACAGTCACTTTGAGAACAAATTGTAGGATCGCAACTGGTTGTTTTTTTTCCCCAACTGCCTTTTTATTAGCATAATACAATTCTGACTTGCCTTAGAGGCAATTTCATTGTTACTTGAGATGTTTTAAAATGGTTTAATCCGGTAAGAGACTGAGCACAATTGAACCCCTATCAAATTCCACTAACTTATTTACTTAATATATTTCTATGCTGCATTCCAGGGTAAAACTTCTCAGCGAGAGGCTCATAATTGGAATAAAAGAGAAAGTCCAGGCAAGGAAATAATTTATGATAAATCAAAGCATTCAATATAAAACAAATGTGAAATTTGGACATTTAAAAGGTGAGAGTGGAAGGAAAAACATTCATGAGCATCAGTCATACAACTGTGGCACCAAGACTTAATCTTAAAAGCCTCTCAAATAGCATTTCAGAAAGTGAGGCCATTCCTGCAGTAGAAGTTTGCTTGCAATTAATAGAAATGACAGTTTGTAAGATCCCAAGATGCCTACAAGTCAGGAGCCCCATAGAACAGCTTTCTATATTGGCTCATTCATAAGAAGAGATTGGACAACCATTTGTCCGAAATGGTATATAGGGTTTCCTGCTTGAGCAGGGGGTTGGACTAGAAGACCTCCAAGGTCCCTTCCAACTCTGTTATTCTGTTAAATGAAGATACCAACTCCAGAGTGCTCTTCATGAAGAATAAACCACTGTTGTCCAAACTGAAATGGTTTGAACACCAGAGTGGTTGCTTCTTGACCAGTTGGATGTCAACCTCTCCGGTCCTCATCCTACTTTTCTAGAACTTGCCTGGTCTCCTAACATTTCTTACATTCCGCGCTTCCATATCAATCTTCTCCCCATCTAATAAGAAAACTACATGAACTCATCCTATCTCCTCTCCTTTTAGAATGGGTTATCTCATCAGATCCATTAAACCACTGAATATGGATTTAGTTTACAACCCAATTTATGTATGTATGTATGTATGTATGTATGTATGTATGTATGTATGTATGTAATTTATATGTTGCCCTTCTCCCGAAGGACTCAGGGCGGCTTACAAAGAACAGAACAAAAATTACATAAACATTAAAAATCCAATTAAAAATTAATTAAAATTATTTAAAATCACCCCTGCGGATCAGCCCATTTGATGAAAGAGCCACGTCTTCAATTCGCGACGGAAGGAGAGGAGGTCAGGGACTGTCCTAAGGCCGCCCATTCCAGAGGCTCCCACAGAGAACGCTCTTCCCCTAGGGGCTGCCAGCCGACATTGTCTGGCTGACGGCACCTTGAGGAGGCCCACTCTATGGGAGCACACAGGATGATGGGACAATTCAACCTTTGAAGTCAGAAAAAGGGAAAGCTCAGCTCCACCTTCCTAGCCAGTATGGCCAATGATCAGGGATGACAATTGGAGGAATTCCTTATGAATTCTCTACTCCTGTGGCAGACATTCCACAATGTTGGAATTATCTTTGTCTGCCTGGCACTATTTGAACCCAGAGAAAAAGTCTGATGGTATGTTTACCTTGATTTACATGGCCGATTTGTGTGGTGCACTCAAACAAATCAGCCATCAATAGGCACATAGAGATAAACAACATCTACATCCCATTTTAAAGAGACAATCAAAAAGTCCAAAAGGAAACAAAAAGACCAAAATACCTCCTCACCATCAGTCAACACCCGGATGAGCAGAAATTGAAGTCAAGATAACACTAGGCCAACAATCAAGAAGCAAATAATACCCCCGTCAAGAAACTACTAACTCAAACAAACAAGCTAACAAATAATAAAAATAAAGAACAGCCTAATCAAGAAAGACCACTCCCACCAACACTGACAGGGCAAGCCACAAGTATATAAAATGAGAGCAAACCCCACTCCTTTACTACCACTGATGATGTTACCTAGTTTGGTAATGAAATGTCTGCAAGAAGATTTAGCGTTTCATTACTATTGTTTAAAGCAGGGGTCCCCAACCCCCAATTTGCGGGCCTGTACTGGTTTGCAGTCTGTGGGAACTAGGCTGCGTAAGCAGTGGGTGAGCGAGCCCAGCTTCATCTGCACATGTGCAGGAGTTGAATAAGTTGTATATGTGAAACCATGGAAGACAACTTTTCTTCCAAAGTTGGTCCCTAGAGCCAGAAAAGTTGGGGACTGCTGGCTTAAAGAAGAGGGTCCCTAATAATTGCAGAGTGTTACTCATTTTCCTAGCACCACAAAACTGTCAGTTTGCAAAGCAGTAGAAGTATTTTATTCATGCTAGCCAATACCCGGCATTTACAGAGGGATTCAGTCTGCAACTATCTGGAACAATTCGTTTCCCTGTTTATCTTATAATTTTCTTACAGGCTACCTTTATCTATATAAATCCTTTTCTGAATAAGAAAACTGAATGTCGATGTTTTAAATTCTGGGCTTCTGAAGATTACTTATTTTGACGTTCTTTTTATCATTCGTTGTATTTTGTTTTGGATATTCTGTCCTTCTCTCCTTTCATGCTACCTGCCCTCTTGGGCATTAAGAACAGTTCCCGCTGTATGTTTTAGAAAAACACACGTAGCAATGTGAATTTATTTTAAAATATTTCAGAACAGATGATACAGGCCAGTGTTTTGTTTTTCTCTGTGCCAGGGCCCTTTGGATTACAATTAAGGAGAATATTTGTAGATCAGGGTTGAAATAAGGGGTCCTTGGTGTTCTCTGAGCTCGCTTGTTTTCTTGCAGGCGTATCATTACCCAAACTAGGTAACATCAGTGCCTTTAAAGTCTTCCTTTAAATAAAGTGAACAAAACCAAAAAGTAAAGATACAGTAGGAAACTCGCAGGGAGGAAGAAAGATTTTTAGGTGTGTGTTTGTGTTACCTGTACGTATTACCTGCCTCTAATTTTAAGGTCTGGGATTCAGAACTACCAAATGACTTTCAAATGTGTCTTTTTTTTTTCCAGGTGAGAAAAAGAAATACGACAGGTGCAAAGTAACACTTCCAAGGATAATCTCTGGGTTTGCCCAATTCTCTGGCACTCACCCGCCTGCAGGTGCCAACAAAGTGTGCGTGGTCAAAAAAAGATGTGATGCCCATTAAAAATCAGCACAGCCTCAATTCCTTTGCAGCCAGCCTCTAGATCCATGATGGCGAACCTATGGCACGGGTGCCACAGGTGGCACACGGAATCATATCTGTGGGAACGCGAGCATTGTTGTAGTTCAGTTCCCGCGCACATGCATGTGCCGGCCAGTTGATTTTTGGGCCTTCCGGTCCTACCGGAAGTTGGGAAATGAGCTGTTTCCAGCCTCCAGAGGGCCTCTCAGCGGGTGGGGAAGGCTGTTTTCACCCTCCCCAGGCTCCTAGAAAGCACCTGGAGCCTGGGGAGGGTGAAAAAACGGGGCTACTGGGCCCACCATGCCATCACGTGCTAAAACTGGGTGGTGCAATTATGGGGGTGGGCACACACGTTGGCAACCTCCCCATGCTCTTCCCGCTTTTGGCACGCGACGGCAAACAGGTTAGCCATCACTGCTCTAGACCAATGTTTTTCAAACTTGGCCAATTCAACATGGCCTGGACTTCAACTCCCACAATCCCCCAGCTGGGGACTCCACGCTATTTAAACTTGCCAAGTTTGGAAAACACTGACTTTTTCGACTGCATCCTGTGGATGCCCCTGTGTGACCTGCCTCAACGGAAACCCCAACAGGACACGGATTCAGTGTTCGCTCAGATGCAAGGAAATGGTTTTTCCGCAAGCCACATTGATAAAAGGATCTCACCACTCTGTGTGTGTGTGTGTGTGTGTGTGTGTGTGTGTGTTAATATGTGGGCTGCCTGCGTGGGAGAAGATCTATCCAGCACCTGAGTACCAAGGTTTCCTTGGAAACAAGGCTGTGAGGATCATGGTTAAGTGGGTCACAGCAGTCCGAGATAAAGCTATTTTTACTCCTGCTTTTGCAACTGAAGGCAGCTGTAGCAGTATTTGGAGATCTTTATTATGTTTCGTATCCACAGCTTGCTCAAGCGATCTCAGAGATCTTGGGATGGGTGGGCGCGCAACAAGGCAGCTGGTAGCATTCTCAAGATGGTCATCTGACTTGTTTTTTGTCAGTTGTCAAAATCAGGTAACGGGCTCTGCTAGAAACACAATATTTATTTATTTATTTATTAGTCCAATTTATATGCCGCCCTTCTCCGTAGACTCAGGGCAGCTTGCAATGCATTATAGCAATAGCCTGCATACTTTTTATGTATATACCTGCTTATTAGGGCTTTTGGCCCCCCCAAGCGGTGTTGTTCTATACAAAGCTGGCTTATTGCCCCCACAATCCGGGTCCTCAATTTACCTACCTCGAAAGGATGGAAGGCTGAGTCAACCTTGAGCCTGGTGAGATTTG